ATAGCACGTTATATAATTCTTCCGATCGATAAGACACCGTCTCTCTGAATGCAGAAAATGCTTCTTGCTTGCTTTGCTTGCTTGGGCTTCGCTTCTCCTTATGCTACATCCGAGGAATCATATAATTTTCGTTAGCGCTGAGGGGTGTGCAGAAAACGCGGCCCTAATCGGGGGTTTTCTAACACAGAGGGGACAGTACAGGATCCTTCAGTATAATCCTACGCAAGTAAATAATGACTCCCACTCGAATGGATCTTGATTTTGTCACGAACAAAAATCATTACTGGATATCCATTTGCGTATTTATTGTTGTTTCTTCAACATTTCGAAATGTGCTTTTATTTTTTGTAAGAATATCGGACTGTAGCTATACAACTGTTGGATGCCCTTTCCAATTTTTTTTTTGGGGCATAAATTTTCGTTTTTTCCCGTTCAGTTTTTATGATGTTATTAGAGCAAAATCTAATCTAATGATGTGTTGGACTGGTGTAAGTTTGTATAATGTTGTCATGCAGGTTCGATGGTAACATTCTGGAAAAGAGTTGCTGCTTGAGTTAAGTATGAAGCTAGTATAAGGCGAGGTTACAAGAGAACTATTTCAACGTTCGTTCAGTACAGATATATATCATTGAAATGTTATAGAGTTTTTTTGTATAAAAATTTATCTGAAATGAAAAAAATATATAAATATTCGTGCGAAACGGGAACAGGTCGGTTGCAAACATATCCGAGCTTTATATTTAGAAAGAAACGTACGTACATAGGCGACGTTTGGGCTTTACATAGCACAGCCCGGCTATATACTTTCTTGGCGATCGATAAAACCCACCCAACAACCCCCTCGACGACCCCCGGTGTCGTCCCGCCCACCTCACCAACCCCGTTCTGTTCTGCTCTCTCTGTATACCGTACAGCAGCACCCTGCAGCAGCTCTCTCATTCAATTCATTACATAAATCCCAAATTACTCCACACCACACCACCGCAAAGTGGACGGCTTTGCTCTTAACGGCCACGGCATGGCGGCCCAGGGCTCCGGCCAATTGCAGCGTTGTTTTATTTCTCTATAAAAGGTCGAAATGACCTCTGCCGTATCTTCTTCTTATCTTGTTAGGTTGGATTATTGATTTTCGAACCACGATTCAAATTTCGAATAAAGAGTCAGCATAACTACCAATATGAAAATATAACTTCCAGTTAGTTTCACAGTCCTTCAATGGGATAACTAAGGATTAATCCTTAGGCTCAATTTTCACTCGATTTTTTTGCTCGGATTCAACATAGTTTGACCAATACGCAAGGTACTCTGCTCGGTACTCTGTATCTGGTCTACCAATATTCAAAATGGAAGTTCCCCAACCAATATCAATAAAACTTGGGAAAAGTTCGTTCAGTTCAGTTATCCCAATAAAAAAATATGTGCCTAATTTGACTTCTGAGAAAAACGAAAAACAGTCTGGCGCCTATATGTTTTCCTTAAAAAAACACCTCATCAGTTTATGTCTACTGCTATTTGTTTACTGAGCGTTACCCAGAATCAGAAAGTCGCATTTAAAATTTTGAATATCAGCCATAGCAGCATTATTTTATTTTTTTAAGAGGCAATGTCTTCTCCTTATCTTATTGGCATGGGTTATTTTTTTCAAGATAACTGCCTAAATTTCGAAGAATAACATCTTCTGCGTCGTTTACATAAATGGAGACATAACATCCGGTTAATTTTGACTTTCAGAATATTCTGTGAGCAAGAATGAGAACTTTCCTTATTAAATTCGTTCTTCACTTTTTCATTGTTACCCATATTCAAGTCTGCGATTACTGATTCCAGGGTTCGTTCAAAATGTCACTTGCCAATATGTCATTATCATCACAGACAAACGATTTTCCGATAATCAGTTTTTTTTGGTGTTTTTCTAATTAGGTATCTGGACATCTGGATCAAATTTATTTATGCAAAATTAAACTAAAATATGGATGTTAATGACTTGTCCAGAGAAATCAAACATTGCACTTCAACTCTTTATGTGTTTGGTAAACATAGCACGAAAGCCGGCTTTTCTGGAAAATCTCGTTTCCGACCACTTTCACGAAAATCGAATAACTATTGGACTTCATTCCTCTCCATACCGCACTGATTCATGATTCTTTTTTCGGCTTCTTCTTCAATTTCCTCTTGTTTTCCTTCTTCTGCTGTTTCCTGAAGGAGACGGAAAAACTAAAACCAAAATTTTATATTTTCTTTTCCATCAAACTGTTCGATTGCTGCATCAATTATGAGAATATCAGCATCATTTCTATCCTTTTCTATTAATATTGATGTTATGATTTTTATTATTGTTATTTTTTTTAAATAATTGTGTTAGCTTGGTAAACCGGATGAGCTCGATTCAGAAAGCTACCTCTTACCCAGACTGCGCCTTACTTTCCGAGTAATTTCTTTATGTAATTTGTTTAAGAAAAATATTCATACTTTGCTGCGACATAAGGCATTTATCATTATTATTATTATTATTTGTATCCGTTTCACGATGACGTTGCTCCTAATTTTTCACATAACATAGAATAAATTTAACTCTTGTTGTTGGCATTAAAGCGAAAAAAATAGCAGTAGATGAGAAAATTATGTCACATTGATGAGGCAATGGGTAGTTCTAAGAGCTAGGGTTCTTATGTAGACACTTCCATCCAGCCAAGAAAATTAGGAAGAAAAAAACTTTAATTCAGGATATCAGCATTCGTATTTAGGAGTGATTTTTCTATTCAAGCCTTCCTCTATCGATGATTCCGTTATTTACGCCAGTTAAAGGCTAAATAAATTCGGATATCTCGTGGAATGGCGTTCAGCACACCTGAATGGGCAGAGCTCCTTTGATTTTCCGGACTTTGTTGTCCGAGTTCCCCAACTTTTTTAAGGGCTTCTTTAACGCTTTGATTAGGGAATTTTTTACGTACTTACGAAACATATTTTAGAGGTCTTCTTTCAAGGAGAATTATTTCAGTTGAATTGTTCAATATTCATTGTCACTGTTTTTTTTTTGAGTGATTTTACTGGCCCGTAGTGTAAGTTTTGAATAATAGTACTGATTTGCTGGAAATCCTCAATTAGTTAGTTGATGATTGTCATAAGTTTGTTGAGTTATTTATACAATAAATTTTAGAACTGTTATGCTTGACACTGGTGTGGTTAGTCGCCCAGAGTTGGGTCATTATCTATTATAATTTATCATCGAGCTCCATTGCTATCTGCATAGTACCAACTACCGGCTGTGTCTACCTCCCAACATTTTAAAAACTATCTACATATTTTGTATTTAATATATAACCTTCAAGTTAAATTGCTTACATCTCACCCTGTAAGGTAAGGGAAAAAAATCCTTTTGCTTTAATAAATCGAGGTCATGTGCTATCAGCAATTAGGAAACAGTCTTTAATACTGGCATTGCAGGGCTGTCCACCTGAATTCGTCGACATACTTCGTTCATGGCACCGACAAACATCGGACCCGGAGAAGCCTCAACAATCACAAGGATTTTTCACTTTGTCCAAGAAAACTTAACGTTAAACGTTAGACGTTGAAACGTCCAATTTTTATGCGACGCCGACGCACTGTATACAGGGTATCAATTTGAAAACCTCCCACCCCTATTATCTCGGAGTAGAAAAATTTTCAAAAAAAATCCCTGAAACACCTTAACTATAATTTGAAGGGGGATGAGTTTTTATGCAAAATTCACCTCCCCTCTTTCAACCCCCCCCAGCCCCCAGAGCCACTCCCTAGAAAATTTTAAATGGGAAGGGGGGTCAAGTGATACATCATTTTGGAGGGTTTTTAATTCCATACATTTTGGTACAAAATTTTAATCCCTAAGTTCAACTGTTTTGGAAATATTGACAGTTGAAAATTGGCTTTTTTGCAACTTTGACAGGCTGTAAGATAAGAATGTAAGATCGGTTTTCCTCTAAAATTAACCGTTTAGGTTTTACAGCCTGTCAAAGTAGCAAAAAAGTCAATTTTCAACTGTCAATATTTCCAAAACAGTTAAATTTAGGGACTAAAATTTAGTACCAAAATGTTTGGAATTAAAAACCCTGCAAAATGATGTATCACTTGATCCCCCTTCCCATTTAAAATTTTCTAGGGGGTGGCTCTGGAAGCTGGGGGGTTGAAAGAGGGAAAGTGAATTTTGCATAAAAACTCACCCCCTTCAAATAGTTGATGTGTTTCAGGGATTTTTTCGAAAATTTTTCTACTCCGAGATAATAGGGATGGGAAGTTTTCAAATTGACACCCTGTATATAATATACCTATACTCAAATTGCTTGTCCCTTTTTCGTAGTTTTTGTCACTACTGCTGTATCGATCGGCCCTCATGAGTTCTAGTCCCTTTACGAGATTGGTTAGCCCACAATATTAACTAGCTTCTTGTTAAATCTCTGCAGATTTAAGTGTCTCTATTGCTATGCTGTCTATGTAGATCTATCCGTGTTCGGCGGCTTTTTGTAAGGTTTTTTTGTAGTCTGCCATTGTAATAAGGAGTTAAACCATGTTCACCTGCGGGACGAAATTTTTTTTATTTACGGGTCTCTTTCATTGCCGGACACTGGCCATTGGCTCTTTGAATTGATGAATCTTGTTTATTTTTCGAGGTTGTTACTTTTCCTCTTCAGCCTTTTTAAACCCCAGTAGGGAAGGTTTCGGCGGGTTGAGCAAGGGACAAATTCAAGCTTCTTAACTAAAAGTTTTTATTATTTATGATTTTTTTCATTAATTCCTCACTGTCGTTGAAAATCGTCAAAATACCATCCACTACAACCGAATAGGGCCGAAGTAAAAGTCGACCCAGGCAGCCATTGTAATGCATTATGCACCAATTTATCCGGTATGCATGCACATCTAGAGCAAAGCCATCGAAACCGAGTGGAGTAGATGTCGAGCCAGTCAGCAGGGGAACAAATAGAAATCGCCTCCACTTTGCTGATAGCAGGGCACGAGACGGGTGAAAAACATGCTACCCTCTGGTTGTAGTATTGTCGCGCGCGTTCTGGAATAAACCTGACAACAACGCAACGCGAAATAATTTTCTTGCCACCGAAACCGAGGTCGCGCAGTGCATCCGCGGCGACGCAACGGTTTGGTTGTGATGCCGCGCGTCATGCAGAACGACCTTTAATTTCGCGAATTTCGTAAAGTTTTACGCTACTACTACTGGGAGTAAAAGACGACGGGACGCGTTTTTCTATCTTTGTCGCTACATTTTTTCGAAATGAATGATGAGGATACATGTCAGTTCCTACCTATTATTTCAAGAAATGTGAACTTTTTGCGAGTTTGCTTTCGGGTTGAAGGATTCAGTTTATAAAAAGTGTGTTTTTTTTTTGGATTTCAACTCAACCATTCATTTGTGAAAGGGGACTTATTTTTGGGACTACTAATAGGATGCCATGGCTGTACTTAGATCTTCTATTGGTGAGCTGATTTATCATCACATTTGTGTAGAACCATGAGCTATTTCATATTAAACTAGAACTAAAGATTCATTAGATTTATGAAGTTGAAATGAAGCTGAAAGCTAGTTGGGGTTTCTTTGGGAAAAACGCTTTTTTTAGATTTTCTTCTCGCTTATTTGGACAATAAAATGTGAAGTGGTTGTTAAAAGTGAAAATGGATATGGAACCAACTTCACAAAAACCTTATGCTTTCTTTAGTAAGATGAAAGGAAGCATCTCATTATTCAGCAATACCAATTGAATAAAATTAGAAAATGTAACATGAAAATCAACCAATATTTTTATTCCAAAAACCATTCACACTTTAAAGAAAAGGTTCGGGCAACAAGCTCTTCTTGAAATTATTTAATTATTATCATCTAATTCAGCTCCATCTTTGATTATACGCACAATATCAACGTTGCGTTGGTTGGTTGACCCGATGGTGTTTGATATGTACCGTAATTCGAGAATTCAACTCCGATATCTATCTTAACTAGTATGGAAGTACAAGTTCATCAACCGTTTGAAACCATCCCATCAAACCTAGTTGTTGTTGTTTTCTTGCCTAAAGCTAATCTTAAGCAAGCGCAACTAGAGCTTATATTGGTTATTGCTCCCATAGGTTCCATACAAAGGTACGAACCGGTCTTTTGCTGATTTAAATTTCATGTACATGGACACTGACAATTATTGTCAACTAAGGCTTTGGTTAAGGTTATGAATGCTTAACACATGCAATAATAATTATCCATAACTACCTGTTTAGAGGGAAAAAACCCCCTAGTAACAAATTATCGCACAGAGCATTTATAATGCAAATTACGAATCCTCAAAAGAAATACACGCGAATTTAATAAAGGAGTAAGGTAATGAAGGGGTAGTAACTGAAGGGGTCGGGAACGGGGGCTCGTTATTATTTTAACCCGCTTGCGTTTGCGATTCTGGTATTATTGATCCGACAAGAACTTGTATGTATGTACTTCGTTTCATATTAGAGTATCTTATGTAAAGTAAATGAAGGTCTATAAAGGGCAAGCAACTTTTCGCTTGGGATAGGTATACATAAGTTTATATCGGCCACAATCGAAATTTGTATCCAAGTTTTAAAATGTCTAAAAGAAAAAGAAGCTTTTTGTCTGACATCCTGACCAGATGAAACCGCACATTAAAATTGAGTAGTCAGCGATGGCGTCCAACACCGCCAAGAATTCATCGCCCATAGGCTCGGACGTTTGGTTTGATATTCGTCTCGGTTACCAAGCGAGGTATAGGCAGTTGCGATTGTGGATTTTTCGTTAGAATAAGATTTTTTTAACAGCTAACCACTCTCTTAGTATAAATATTTTGGGACTTCCAAATAAATCGAAACTATTCGAAGGCAGATTATATCTAGTATGTTTTGGATCATTTTTGAGATTTTGTAGTAGTACAATTTTCCACATTCGTCATGATCTAGGCCCAAAATAGTGCGCTAACCGATCAATAATGTTTGTTCCCAAGGGGCTCCAATCCTGAATAAAATATACGCCACTGATCTCCAGGTTAAACATAACGAATCCGTCATCGTGTTGAAATCGGTTTGGGGAGGGGGAGGGGAACGACGAAGGGTTCGAAGGCAGTCTAGATTCTCTTTTCTCTCACGTCGATTTCTGGCTTGTTGGCTGACTGCTATAGGAACATTCGCAATGAAATGGCAAACTCAGTCGCTTCTCCGCCAAACTGTTACACTACATACACATAGAGCCTGAAAATATTGACTCCTCTGGACTGTTTCCTCCATGCCTCCTTTCATTTCCTCTGTTCACCCATCACCTTCTTGTTAAATGGGAAAATTTCACGTCGATACTTTGCTATACGCGGTTCTTTTTCTTTAGAATCTTACGATGCTTTCATCGGAATTAGATATAGTTAAGCTCTATTTGAACGATGAACGTAAGACACACACAGTCAGTAGTAGATGTCAAAAAAAAAAACATCTGATTTAGTTCCGACGTGTACAAAGTATGGCAGATACGGGAATACCTAAGCAAATCAATGAGTGGAAGTCAGGGGGAAGAATGCTTGGATTGACAAGTCAGTTTATTTCAATGCCAATAGGGGTATTTGCCCTCGGAATAGTTGCTTATAGCTCGCCGACAATGTTCATATGTATATATATTTATATTATACAGGGCTTTCATTTCAAAATTTGTCACCCACGTTATCTGCGGAAAGAAACAGATTTGTGGAAATCGCCGAAACACGTCAATACATTTATTGAGGGGGAATGTTTTTTACGTAAAACCCTTTCAATAAATTTGTTGACGTGTTTCGACGGTTTTCACAAATCTCTTTATGCAGATAACGTGGGTGGAGAATTAATTTGAATTTTCCGAATATGACAACCTTAATTCGTTGTTGTTTATTTTAAAAGTCACGGGTCATCAAACAGATGAGGAAGACTTTCTTGACAACTTATAACTCTTTGGTTGGACTAAGCACCAAGGACCAGGATGATTCCAAAACTAATAGTAACATTCTCGATGGAAGCAGTACAGCTAGGGGGGCAAATGGGTGTTAGTTGACCAAATGTCAATTTTGTTGCAGTTGAGATTTATTAAACAAAAATGAAAAAATCATTATTACCGCCTCAGGACGTTCTATAATATGGTGTTTATCCAGGACGGAGAAAACTCGACAGGGGCTCTAAACAAGGCCGCCTTATCTGGCCCCAAGTGGCGTCGGGACGTTCTCGGGTGCCGCCGACAGATTGCCCGACAGGTTGCTCCACATTTCGTTTTCCCCCTTCGTGGATACAACGCCACGCGCCGCCGTCTAGCTGAATGCCGCGCCGCGAATATTATGGTTTTATGTATGTATATGGGGGAAGCGTTAAAGCCTTTGGGTTTTAATTGGTGCAGAATATATGGGACTTTTTATTATTCATTTATGTTTTTTTTTTTAAAGCAATAAATAAGAAATTTATTTCGATGAGCATAGAATTAGACGTAAATGCTTAGTCCTCTTTTTCTTGCTAGGTTAACCTATAATAGGTGGGTTCGGGATGACTGTTCTATAAACATAAACTCTTAGTGCAGTAAACACTCCGGATGCTTTTGAGCTAGAACAGCAACTCCACATGCGTTCGGGATGGTCGTGCTGACTCTGAAAAGTGAAAGCACCACCTCTTCAGTAGCAAGCGCCAGAGTTGGCATGCGCAGTGTGTTCGTTTTCTTGATTTGGTATCATCTATCCTAGCCGCATTCTTTCGCAAAATATTTGAATCATGATTCCGAGATCCTGATCCGTTCGTTCAGATGGAACATGTTTCATTTATTAGTCCGAAAAAACGCTGTCACTGATGTGTCACTGCCAGCTGGTGCTTTTCCTCTATTCTCTATTTTTTGAGTTGGTTATTATTATATTTTGCAGTTTTTTGATTTGCTACGTTTGTTTTTCTGTGCTTATAATAATGGACGAGCTTACAAAATTTATATTATATATTATTGCAGAAAGCGCAAAAAGTAAACAAGAAATAATTTGAAAGTTGAGGTTAGATTTTCGCGATCGGAACAAACTAATCACAAACAAAAAATGTTCAATATGTTCAGACTTTCTCGGATCATGATTCGTTAACTGTCATTTGCCAAAATGCGAAAGAACGTGATCACTGGAACATAACGCGTTTTGATCAACTGATCCGGTCCGAAAGAATACGGCTCATATTTTTTGGTTTGTTTGCGACTATTTGACAGTCAACAAATCAATATTTCATCTGTAATTAGCGTGGTAAATGAATGGAATGGGTTTTAGTACAGTAATTTCACTGACTTTTCATCTCGATGACTTTATGTATGATCTTCTTCTGACAAGTCTCGGAAATAAACGTCCTTCATAATTAAATATACGCACCAAATAGCCAAAGTTCAATTTTCATTTTTGGATTTGAATATGACACACAACCACAAATAACAAAAGAAAAACTTTAAAAAGACGTTTACTCGGACTTTTATTTTTGATAATAATTTTCAGTTTTTAATGTAAGGTTGAGTAAAGAAACTCCAAATGCACCCTGGCCGTTCAGTTTCACTAATCTACTTCAAAAGTACTTTGGTTACGTGATAAAAACGCCACTCCAAATGTACTCCAGCTCCGCTCGGCCATCCCGAACCCAGCTTATATCGAAAGTTGCCAATCATCACTGCTATCCTCACGAATTCTATTCCTTCGAAACTTACCAGTCAGGAACCAATAATCTTCTGCTTCTGCTATGTTTCCCTTCTATAATGACTTGAAGTAATCAACATTCTTTTGTTTTGCATAATATGACAGCTGTCCCCAAGGATATACAGAGTAAAATCAACACCATGCAATCCATGCATATTCTTGGAAATGGGAATTTCTAATGCCGCACTTTGCACAGTACGCTATTTTCATACCCAGGGGAAAGACTTGCCGGGATTTTATGACGGTCATGCACACATCGATCTTTCTTAGGAGATTTCTCGCACTTGGCATCAATTCAATATTTTTCGTTTTATCAACAAAAACACATACCTAACCTCAAAAAGTGACATCAGAGTTTATTCACCTATCAACTATGAGACAATCTAACGACCCAAGGATAATACACACTACTACTACAGGATAGCCTATCCTCATAAGGCCTGTGTAGAACAAATCTGAAGCCCCCCACCACGCCAAATCACCAGTTGTGACGTAGACCAAAAACCAAACACACCATACGCAGCCTTAAAAAACAGCTGACGCTCATTAATTTTTCTGTGATTGGTATTTCTGAAAATGGCATCAAAAATTGGGAACTGAAATTTGCAAGCACCTAAATGTTCTTTGGCAATGATGTTGAACTTTGACGTTGACGTGCACTGACACTATCTAGTAAGTCAAAGAAGAGAATAGGTAACCGTGCATAGCTCCCAGTTCAATATCTCATGTCCTACCTTGCCAACCGCTTTTTCGGCATCCATAGAACGAGTC